CCCAGGTGTTTTGTACATTTTCACTTCGAAATGTGCTTCTCGCCACAACGGCGTGCACTTTTGGGACATCTCAACTTCCAAAAGTGCTCCGAGACCGCCAGTTTTTAACGCTTTTTACTTCCAAATGTGCTTCGCGCCACAATGCCGTACACTTTTTCGACATCCCAACTTCCAAAAGTGGTCCGAACCCCTGGTGTTTTTAACATTTTGACTTCGAAATGTGCTTCGCGCCACAACGGCGTGCACTTTTTCGAGATCTGAACCTCCAAAAGGGGCGCGAACATGTGGTGTTTTGTACATTTTGACTTCGAAATGTGCTTCGCGCCACAACGGCGTGCACTTTTTCGACATCTCAACTTCCAACAGTGGTCCGGAGCTGGTGTGTTTTGTACATTTTGACTTGGAAATGTGCTTCGCGCCACAACGGCGTGCGCTTTTTCGACATCTCAACTTCCAAAAGTGGTCCGGAGCTGGTGTGTTTTGTACATTTGACTTGGAAATGTTCTTGCGCACAAAGGCGGCCACTTTTTCGACATCTCAACTTCCAAAAGTCGTCCGACACTGAGGTGTTTTGTACATTTTGACTTCGAAATGTGCTTCGCGCCACAACGGCGTGCACTTTTTCGACATCTCAACTGCCAAAAGTGGTCCGGAGCTGGTGTGTTTTGTACATTTTGAGTTGGAAATGTGCTTCGCGCCACAACGGCGTGCACTTTTTCGTCATCTCAACTTCCAAAAGTGGTCCGACAATGGTGTGTTTTGTGTATTTTGACTTGGAAATGTGCTTCGCGCCACAACGGCGTGCAATTTTTCATCTCTCCTCTGGCCAGCTGGCTCCGCACCCGCCGCTTTAGCGAGCCTACTTTCCGACCCTCCGGAGCCACAAATCATTGGAAAAACACACTGTTTCGCGACTTTCCTACCTTTTCGCGCATCTCCATCTTCTTTCTTCTTACTCTTTCTCTTCTACTCTTCTCTCTTCTGATCTTTCTCTTCTCTCTGCCTCTTCCCTGCTCTGCTTTTCATCTGTCCATATTGTCGGAAGTTTGACTTCTGAACTTCCTTCGAACATTGTAACAATAGTTGTACATTGATAGTTTCGATAGGCAATAACACTGATAGTTTCACAATAGAACAGTTAAACATGGATCGGTTACAACACGCTCTTCAATAGAACAAGTTCAACAAGTCAAACATCGACTGGCATCGGTGATCACAAGAATTATATACATGAAAGAAAAAACATAATGGATAGTAGTACGGAAACCTTTGATTTTGCAGAAATTTGAGCCGTCCCAGGTCTGCTACAGACTGTGAACCCTGTAATCATTAAAAATAAAAAAATACAAAAAAAATACAACTCCAAATTACAAAAAAATACAACACTGAGCAGGGCAAAATTATCAACAAAAGGAAAATACAACATACATTGATGGATTCGCGGTTTTGTTCTTTGACGGCATGTCTAAAGAACGCAAAAAATACAAAAGGACAAAGTGCAATCTGTGAAGGACTGGAAAAATACAAAAAAAAATGCAAAAATACAAATTGCATTTTTGGACGTAATGGAAAAATACAAAAAAAATACAAAAATACAAAGTGTATTTTTTTGTATTTTATTTGTATTGTTTTCGTATTTTGCTGTATTTTTACAAAAAAAAATTACTTTACTTCGTGTGATCCCCACCATGACATTTATACATTTTCTTACTGGCAAATCTTCTGGCATTCTATCTGGCATATCTTCTGGCACTCTATCTGAAATATCTTCTGGCATTCCATCTGGCAATTTCGGCATTATATTCTGACAATCTTCTGGCATTCTCTGACATTATCTTCTGCAATATTCTGACCTATCTTCTGGCATATCTTCTGGAATACTTCTGGCATATGTCATGAACATCTCTATCTGGGACATATCTTCTGGTATTTATATTTTCTGGACATTCTATCTGGCAAATCTTCTGGCATTTCTATCTGGCATTTATCTGGCATATAGCTTCTGGCATATTATCTGGCATTCTATCGGCATATATCTTCTGGGCATATCTTTATGGCAAATTCTTCATGACAGTCTTTCTGACATTCTTTCTAAACTTTCTTCTGCACATTCGTGGTTGCCCATATCTTCCTACATGAGGTCCGGCAGGGAACACTGGGCGCGGATGGTCGTGGTTGAGGTCCGGCAGGGAACACTGGGCGCGGATGGTCGTGGTTGAGGTCCGGCAGGGAACACTGGGCGTGGATGGTCGTGGTTGAGGTCCGGCAGAGAAACAGTGGGGCGTGGATGGCGTGTTGAGGTTCCGGCAGGGAACACTGTGGATCGCGGGTCGCAGTTGAGCAAGGACGACAAGGATGACAAGGAGGACGAGGAGGAGGAGGACGAGGCAGGAGGAGGCGGAGGAGGAGGAGGAGGAGGAGCAGGAGGAGCAGGAGGAGGAGGAGGACGAGGAGGCAACTGACATAAAATCTAACAACCCTCACCTGGCAGGTGGGGAAATACAAAAAAAATACAAAAAATACGAATGCAATTGCTCAAAAATACAAAATAAAAAAAAGATACGAATCAACAATTTCAAAAATACAAAATACAAAAAATATACGAACCCAAAATTACAAAAATACAAAATACAAAGAAAAGACAAATTCAAAAATAAGCCAGAGAGCCAACCCCGTGTTCACTTTTGGAAATCAGGAACCAAAATACAAAAAAATACAAAACCAACCAGTTGTATTTTCCAAACCCTGCAGTTCTGATTTTGTATTTTTGGGTTGTATTTTTTTCGTACTTTTTTTGTATTTTTAAATATTGGCAGAAGACCCTTCTGTAGCCACCCCGGACAACTCAAGCAGAAATGGTATGTCATCATGTTGTTGCAGTTGCGGTTTCTTGTCATGTCTACCTCCATTGGCGTCTTAGACAAAGGATCAACCTTTGCCCACAGAGCACTTCGAGTTCGAAATCCTTCCGGAGAATTCCAAGAGTCAGGTTTGCATTTCACCCAATGCCTTCCTGGTTCCCACCATAAAAACTTCCGACGTGAAGCATGGCAACCTGAAACCTTAATTGGAACCGTCCCATCTGATCCAAACCCAAACGTAACGTCGAAACCAAAACAAAATGGTGGGCCAGCATAAACCTGTGCTTCCAGCAGCTGGAAATCTACAACTTCGGTGAAGGTGAAGATGGAATGTTTCCACATGTTTCTATCGGTGGCTTTTCTCACCACGAACCACAACGATGACCACATCGACTGAAACAAACCGACCAAAATTGCAGCCTGGACACAGTGACTTGAATTCCTCCACCAATCTCGAACGCACTGCATGGTTCACCGCGTCGAAGCCGATGTCGTTGAGGATCAATTTCTTGATCGAATCCTGCAACGACATTGCGCTGCGCTGTGCTGCTCACATGGACTCAAAACATGTTGGTTTTTGATCATAATGGGTCACATTCAACATATTCAACATCAACAAGCAGATCAACATCACAATCGAAACTTCAACCAACCTCAACCGCAAAATAACAATGAAAGAGGAGGATGGGAGGAAGAAGGAGAAGTTCTGAACAACCCTCACCTGGGGAAAAACATGACAAGAACAATGACATGACAAGTTTGCCAAGGGATGTGAAAGCCGGCTGTGGCGACGCTAACCCAGGCCTCATCGGCGCGTTGATGAGCCTTCGCATCTCGAACGTCTAAAGATGCAACGGCTTGGGTGAGCTCACGAAGCCTCGCATGAAAAGATGAACATGAAACAAATTATACCAGCGTTGGCCCCAAACAGATGTAGAAAATCTCAAATATATTTATAAGTTTGCGGCAAAGGATATCATTTCGGCATCCTTCCGTGCATTTATGCGGCCCAAGGCACCCAGAGTGGGAGACAAGTGTGGAAGACAAGTGTGGGAGACAAGTGAGACACAAGTGTAAAATCATGCACTCCAAGACACCCAGAGTGGGAGACAAGTGTGGGAGACAAGTGGAAAACAAGTGTAAACTCATGCGGCCCAAGGCACCCAAGTGTGAGGGACAAGTGGGAAGCAAGTGTAAAATCATGCGGCCCAAGGCACCCAGAGTGGGAGACAAGTGCGGGAGACAAGTGGGAGACAAGTGTAACTCATGCGGCCCAAGGCACCCAGAGTGTGGGAGACAAGTGTGGGAGACAAGTGTAAACTCATGTGCTCCAAGACACCCAGAGTGGGAGACAAGTGTGGCAGACAAGTGGAAGACAAGTGTAAACTCATGCGGCCCAAGGCACCGAGAGTGGGAGGGAGACAAGTGTAAACTCATGCGGCCCAAGGAACCCAGAGTGGGAGACAAGTCTGGGAGACAAGTGTGGGAGACAAGTGGGCGAGAAGTGTAAACTCATGCGACCCAAGGAACCCAGAGTGGGAGACAAGTGTGGGAAACAAGTGTGGGAGACAAGTGTGGGAGACAAGTGTGAGAGACAAGTGTGGGAGACAAGGGGGAGACAAGTGTAAACTCATGCGGCCCAAGGAACCCACAGTGGGAGACAAGTGTGGGAAACAAGTGCGGGAGACAAGTGTGGGATACAAGTGTAAAATCATGCGCTCCAAGACACCCACAGTGCGAGACAAGTGTGGGAGACAAGCGGAAGACAAGTGTAAACTCATGCGGCCCAAGGCACCCAGAGTGTGAGAGGGAGACAAGTGTAAAATCATGCGGCCCAAGGCACCCAGAGTGAGAGACAAGTGTGGGAGACAAGGGGGAGACATGTGTAAACTCATGCAGCCCAAAGAACCCAGAGTGGGAGACAAGGGGGAGACAAGTGTAAACTCATGCGGCCCAAGTGAGAGACAAGTGTGGGAGACAAGGGGGAGACAAGTGTAAACTCATGCAGCCCAAAGACAAGGGGAGACAAGCGTAAGCTCATGCAGCCCAAAGAACCCAGAGTCAAAGACAAGGGGGAGACAAGTGTAAACTCATGCGGCCCAAGGCACCCAGAGTCGGAGACAAGTGTGGGAAACAAGTGTGGGAGACAAGTGTAAACTCATGCAGCCCAAAGAACCCAGAGTGGGAGACAAGGGGGAGACAAGTGTAAAATCATGCGGCCCAAGGCACCCAGAGTGAGAGACAAGTGTGGGAGACAAGGGGGAGACAAGTGTAAACTCATGCAGACCAAAGAGCCCAGAGTCAAAGACAAGGGGGAGACAAGTGTAAACTCATGCGGCCCAAGGCACCCAGAGTCGGAGACAAGTGTGGGAAACAAGTGTGGGAGACAAGTGTAAACTTATGCAGCCCAAAGAACCCAGAGTGGGAGACAAGGGGGAGACAAGTGTAAAATCATACGGCCCAAGGCACCCAGAGTGGGAGACAAGTGCGGGAGACAAGTGGGAGACAAGTGTAAACTCATGCGGCCCAAGGCACCCAGAGTGAGAGACAAGTGTGGGAGACAAGGGGGAGACAAGTGTAAACTCATGCGGCCCAAAGAGCCCAGAGTGGGAGACAAGTGTGGGAGACAAGTGTGGGAGAAAAGTGTGGGAGACAAGTGTCAACTCATGCGCCCCAAGACACCCAAAGTGGGAGACAAGTGTGGGAGACAAGTGTAAACTCATGCGGCCCAAGGCACCCAGAGTGGGAGACAAGTGCGGGAGACAAGTGGGAGACAATTGTAAACTCATGCGGCCCAAGGCACCCAGAGTGAGAGACAAGTGTGGGAGACAAGGGGGAGACAAGTGCAAACTCATGCGGCCCAAGGAACCCAGAGTGGGAGACAAGTGTGGGAGACAAGTGGGCGACAAGTGTAAACTCATGCGGCCCAAGGGAACCCAGAGTGGGAGACAAGTGTGGGAAACAAGTGTGGGAGACAAGTGTGGGAGATAAGTGTGAGAGACAAGTGTGGGAGACAAGGGGGAGACAAGTGTAAACTCATGCGGCCCAAGGAACCCAGAGTGGGAGACAAGTGTGGGAAACAAGTGTGGGAGACAAGTGCGGGAGACAAGTGTAAACTCATGCGCCCCAAGACACCAAAAAATGGGAGACAAGTGCGGGAGACAAGTGGAAGACAAGTGTAAACTCATGCGGCCCAAGGCACCCAAGTGTGAGGGACAAGTGGGAGACAAGTGTAAAATCATGCGGCCCAAGGCACCCAGAGTGGGAGACAAGTGCGGGAGACAAGTGGGAGACAATTGTAAACTCATGCGGCCCAAGGCACCCAGAGTGAGAGACAAGTGTGGGAGACAAGGGGGAGACAAGTGTAAACTCATGCGGCCCAAGGAACCCAGAGTGGGAGACAAGTGTGGGAGACAAGTGTGGGAGACAAGTGGGCGAGAAGTCTAAACTCATGCGGCCCAAGGAACCCAGAGTGGGAGACAAGTGTCGGAAACAAGTGTGGGCGACAAGTGTGGGAGACAAGTGTGAGAGACAAGTGTGGGAGACAAGGGGGAGACAAGTGTAAACTCATGCGGCCCAAGGAACCCACAGTGGGAGACAAGTGTGGGAAACAAGTGTGGGAGACAAGTGTGGGATACAAGTGTAAACTCATGCGCTACAAGAAACCCAGAGTGGGAGACAAGTGTGGGAGACAAGCGGAAGACAAGTGTAAACTCATGCGGCCCAAGGCACCCAGAGTGTGAGAGGGAGACAAGTGTAAAATCATGCGGCCCAAGGCACCCAGAGTGAGAGACAAGTGTGGGAGACAAGGGGGAGACATGTGTAAACTCATGCAGCCCAAGGCACCCAGAGTGTGAGAGGGAGACAAGTGTAAAATCATGCGGCCCAAGGCACCCAGAGTGAGAGACAAGTGTGGGAGACAAGGGGGAGACATGTGTAAACTCATGCAGCCCAAGGCACCCAGAGTGTGAGAGGGAGACAAGTGTAAAATCATGCGGCCCAAGGCACCCAGAGTGAGAGACAAGTGTGGGAGACAAGGGGGAGACATGTGTAAACTCATGCAGCCCAAAGAACCCAGAGTGGGAGACAAGGGGGAGACAAGTGTAAACTCATGCGGCCCAAGTGAGAGACAAGTGTGGGAGACAAGGGGGAGACAAGTGTAAACTCATGCAGCCCAAAGACAAGGGGAGACAAGCGTAAGCTCATGCAGCCCAAAGAACCCAGAGTCAAAGACAAGGGGGAGACAAGTGTAAACTCATGCGGCCCAAGGCACCCAGAGTCGGAGACAAGTGTGGGAAACAAGTGTGGGAGACAAGTGTAAACTCATGCAGCCCAAAGAACCCAGAGTGGGAGACAAGGGGGAGACAAGTGTAAACTCATGCGGCCCAAGGTACCCTGAGTGAGAGACAAGTGTGGAAGACAAGGGGAGACAAGTGTAAGCTCATGCAGCCCAAAGAGCCCAGAGCGGGAGACAAGGGGGAGACAAGTGTAAACTCATGCGGCCCAAGGCACCCAGAGTGAGAGACAAGTGTGGGAGACAAGGGGGAGACAAGTGTAAACTCATGCGGCCCAAAGAACCCAGAGTGGGAGACAAGGGGGAGACAAGTGTAAACTCATGCGGCCCAAGGAACCCAGAGTGAGAGACAAGTGTGGGAGACAAGGGGGAGACAAGTGTAAACTCATGCAGCCCAAAGAACCCAGAGTCAAAGACAAGGGGGAGACAAGTGTAAACTCATGCGGCCCAAGGCACCCAGAGTGGGAGACAAGTGCGGGAGACATGTGGGAGACAAGTGTAAACTCATGCGGCCCAAGGCACCCAGAGTGAGAGACAAGTGTGGGAGACAAGGGGGAGACAAGTGTAAACTCATGCGGCCCAAAGAGCCCAGAGTGGGAGACAAGTGTGGGAGAAAAGTGTGGGAGACAAGTGTAAACTCATGCGCCCCCAGACACCCAAAGTGGGAGACAAGTGTGGGAGACAAGTGTAAACTCATGCGGCCCAAGGGACCGGGAGTGGGAGAGGGAGACAAGTGTAAACTCATGCGGCCCAAGGAACCCAGAGTGGGAGACAAGTGTGGGAGACAAGTGTGGGCGACAAGTGTAAACTCATGCGGCCCAAGGAACCCAGAGTGGGAGACAAGTGTGGGAAACAAGTGTGGGAGACAAGTGTGGGAGACAAGTGTGAGAGACAAGTGTGGGAGACAAGGGGGAGACAAGTGTAAACTCATGCGGCCCAAGAAACCCAGAGTGGGAGACAAGTGTGGGAAACAAGTGTGGGAGACAAGTGTGGGAGACAAGTGTAAAATCACGCGCTCCAAGACACCCAGAGGGGGAGACAAGTGTGGGAAACAAGTGGAAGACAAGTGTAAACTCATGCGGCCCAAGGCACCCAAGTGTGAGGGACAAGTGGGAGACAAGTGTGAAATCATGCGGCCCAAGGCACCCAGAGTGGGAGACAAGTGCAGGAGACAAGTGGGAGACAATTGTAAACTCATGCGACCCAAGTCACCCAGAGTGAGAGACAAGTGTGGGAGACAAGGGGGGACAAGTGTAAACTCATGCAGCCCAAAGAACCCAGAGTGGGAGACAAGTGCGGGAGACATGTGTAAACTCATGCGGCCCAAGGCACCCAGAGTGAGAGACAAGTGTGGGAGACAAGGGTGAGACAAGTGTAAACTCATGCAGCCCAAAGAACCCAGAGTGGGAGACAAGGGGGAGACAAGTATAAACTCATGCGGCCCAAGGCACCCAGAGTGAGAGACAAGTGTGGGAGACAAGGGGGGGACAAGTGTAAACTCATGCGGCCCAAGGCACCCAGAGTGAGAGACAAGTGTGGGAGACAAGGGGGAGACAAGTGTAAACTCATGCAGCACAAAGAACCCAGAGTGGGAGACAAGGGTGAGACAAGTGTAAACTCATGCGGCCCAAGGAACCCAGAGTGAGAGACAAGTGTGGGAGACAAGGGGGAGACAAGTGTAAACTCATGCGGCCCAAAGAACCCAGGGTGGGAGACAAGGGGGAGAAAAGTGTAAACTCATGCAGCCCAAAGAACCCAGAGTGGGAGACAAGGGGGAGACAAGTGTAAAATCATGCGGCCCAAGGCACCCAGAGTGGGAGACAAGTGCGGGAGACAAGAGGGAGACAAGTGTAAACTCATGCGGCCCAAGGCACCCAGAGTGTGGGAGACAAGGGGGAGACAAGTGTAAACTCATGCGGCACAAAGAACCCAGACTGGGAGACAAGGGGGAGACAGTGTAAACTCAGGCACCCAGAGTGGGATGCAAGCCCGGAGACAGAGGCAAAATCATGCGGCCCAGGGATGCAACCCTTTGAAAGGAGTAAAAACACCATACAGGTAAACCTGTTTGGGGAATGAAAGACAAATGGGAGAACAGTGAAGGAAATCATGCGACCAACCAGACCCAGAGTGGAAGACAAGCGGGAGACAAATGAAAGACAAATGGGAGACAAGTGAAGGAAATCATGCGACCAACCGGACTCAGAGTGGGAGACAAGTGGAAACAAATGAAAGACCAGTGGAAGACACGTGAAGGAAATCATGCGACCAACACGACCCAGAGTGGGAGCCAAGTGGGAGACAAATGAAAGACAAATGGGAGACAAGTGAAGGAAATCATGCGACCAACCGGACCCAGAGTGGGAGACAAATGAAGGACAAATGGGAGGAAAAGTGAAGGAAATCATGCGAACAACCAGACCCAGAGTGGGAGACAAGTGGGAGACAAATGAAAGACAAATGGGAGACAAGTGAGGGAAATCATGCGACCAACCAGACCCAGAGAGGAAGACAAGCGGGAGACAAATGAAAGACAAATGGGAGACAAGTGAAGGAAATCATGCGACCAACCGGACCCAGAGTGGGAGACAAGTGGAAGACAAATGAAAGACAAATGGGAGACAAGTGAAGGAAATCATGCGACCAACCAGACCCAGAGTGGGAGACAAGTGGGAGACAAATGAAAGACAAAGGGGAGACAAGCGAGGGAAATCATGCGACCAACCGGCCCCAGAGTGGGAGACAAGGGAAGACAAATGAAAGACAAATGGGAGACAAGTGAAGGAAATCATGCGACCAACCGGACCCAGAGTGGGAGACAAATGAAGGACAAATGGGAGGAAAAGTGAAGGAAATCATGCGAACAACCAGACCCAGAGTGGGAGACAAGTGGGAGACAAATGAAAGACAAATGGGAGACAAGTGAGGGAATCATGCGACCAACCAGACCCAGAGTGGAAGACAAGCGGGAGGCAAATGAAAGACAAATGGAAGACAAGTGAAGGAAATCATGCGACCAACACGACCCAGAGTGGGAGCCAAGTGGGAGACAAATGAAAGACAAATGGGAGACAAGTGAAGGAAATCATGCGACCAACCAGACCCAGAGTGGGAGACAAGCGGGAGCAAATGAAAGACAAATGGGAGAAAAGGAAGGAAATCATGCGAACAACCAGAGCCAGAGTGGGAGACAAGTGGGAGACACATGAAAGACAAATGGGAGACAAGTGAAGGAAATCATGCGACCAACCGGACCCAGAGTGGGAGACAAATGAAAGACCAATGGGAGACAAGTGAAGGAAATCATGCGACCAACACGACCCAGAGTGGGAGACAACTGGGAGACAAATGAAACACAAAGGGGAGACAAGTGAGGGAAATCATGCGACCAACCAGACCCAGAGTGGGAGACAAGTGAAGGAAATCATGCGACCAACCGGACCCAGTGTGGAAGACAAGCGGGAGACAAATGAAAGACAAATGGGAGACAAGTGAAGGAAATCATGCGACCAACCGGACTCAGAGTGGGAGACAAGTGGAAACAAATGAAAGACCAGTGGAAGACACGTGAAGGAAATCATGCGACCAACACGACCCAGAGTGGGAGCCAAGTGGGAGACAAATGAAAGACAAATGGGAGACAAGTGAAGGAAATCATGCGACCAACCGGACCCAGAGTGGGAGACAAATGAAGGACAAATGGGAGGAAAAGTGAAGGAAATCATGCGAACAACCAGACCCAGAGTGGGAGACAAGTGGGAGACAAATGAAAGACAAATGGGAGACAAGTGAGGGAAATCATGCGACCAACCAGACCCAGAGAGGAAGACAAGCGGGAGACAAATGAAAGACAAATGGGAGACAAGTGAAGGAAATCATGCGACCAACCGGACCCAGAGTGGGAGACAAGTGGAAGACAAATGAAAGACAAATGGGAGACAAGTGAAGGAAATCATGCGAACAACCAGACCCAGAGTGGGAGACAAGTGGGAGACAAATGAAAGACAAAGGGGAGACAAGCGAGGGAAATCATGCGACCAACCGGCCCCAGAGTGGGAGACAAGTGGAAGACAAATGAAAGACAAATGGGAGACAAGTGAAGGAAAACATGCGACCAACCGGACCCAGAGTGGGAGACAAGTGGAAACAAATGAAAGACCAATGGAAGACAAGTGAAGGAAATCATGCGACCAACACGACCCAGAGTGGGAGCCAAATGAAAGACAAATGGGAGACAAGTGAAGGAAATCATGCGACCAACCGGACCCAACGCTCTGAGGACGCAAGCCCGGAGACACAGTCAAAATCATAGGACCAAGGCAAGCAACCCTTGCTAAGGAGTAAGAACCCCATACAGGTAAACCTGTTTGGGGAAAAAGGTGAAAAAAATGAAACAAACATGCGGAAAAAATGTGGAAAACGTGGTGAAAACATGATGGAAACTTGACGAAAACAGAATGAAAACCTGACGAAAACATGAAAACATGACGAACATATTATGATGCGACAGGCGAAAAACATGTGGAAGTCATCAGCCAACATGGAAATTAAGGGCTGTCAAGTGCTGCACTGTGCATAGGACTGGTTAGGTGACTATTCCCCTTGCTGCGCTCCCTGCATCTTCAATGCACCAATGCCAAGCTGCCCGGCATCACCAGCCGACAAGGCATGTCGGAAACATTCCTGCGCCGAATTGGGAAGGATCACTTCCATCGAGAAGTTTTGTTGGATGCATACCTCAGTGTCCACGTCAAAGCACCTAACATCACATCTCTTCAAAAAAACTTCTGTGGTTAAGCGGGTGACCCAGGCAAACTCCGATGAAAATATTTTGGGTCTTGTGCCACAAACACAGCTGTGGACCCGTGGAACACCTGCATTTCCGGACGCGACACGTAGCTTTCGAAAATGCACCAGGCCCGGGAGACATAGGTGGGTTTTTGGATTGGATTGGAGGAGGACGTCAACCTGCTCCTCACCGAAGTGAAGTAGTTAAGACGCCGAAATTGCCAACGCTGAGCCGGAGCTCTTTGCACTGAACAAACCGGAGGGCAAGTTCAAGTCAAGAAAAGTACCACCCATGCAGCTGAAGAAGCAGCAAAAGCTTATTCAAACGACCTGTTTTGACGTGGTTCGTGTTCAAGCAAAACTTGCCAGTAGGGAAGAGAACCCTTTAGTTGCGCCTTCCAAGCTTCTCCAGCCCAAACAACAGCCTCTCTGTGTTGTGACAGACAAGTAGCAATCACCTGCCGAAATTGACCTGTAAGATCAGCCGCGCTAGCATCCGCATTGGCATTGAGCATGCGGCAACGCAAAACATCAAGCCACCCTTCGGGTGGGCGCCATCGAGGAACTTTATCATGCGAGGGAATCCACGCACAAGAAGAGCCATCAACCAAAAGCATCCTGATATAATGCCAGTATGGAAAAAGATCTCCACCCCACTGTCCGAGCCGCATGCCACGATGAAGACGTTGCACAAGAGCTTGGTTGTCAATCAGCAAGCGCACCGCTCTGTTCGCTTCATGGGAAGCCAAGCAGGCTTGAAGAAGTGCACCTCTCTCGCCCGCAGCAGGAGTTTGCTCGAAACCATGCACCAACCCATTGACCGTGGGCCCGATATGAGCCGCCACAGCCCAGCTGGCACGCTGCCAAAGTTCGCACCCTGGAGCGATTGCACAACTTCCATCCAAGCCCAACGTCGGCGTTTGATGTGGGTCAAACTGTTGTAGAAAAGCCACCAGAATGGGGTCGGCCGTCATATCTTCAAATGGAAGAACAGCTGGAGCATCCACAAGAGGAACAAGCAACCGCCTTTCAGTTGGAGTTTTGAGATCACCATGCCAAGGATTTGCCTCGCAGTAGAAAGTGAAATGCTCACGATCAGGAGAGCTCAAACCACAATCACACTGCAAGTCGACTTCCAAACGTTGAGTAACTCTCCCATCCACTGCTGCACCTGTCAAGACTCTGCGACCACAATAGTTCAAATCATGCGCCACATTGGCCTGGAATTGGAACACAGGCAACTTACCTTCAGGTAAAGGACCCTCCGTTTTGGTGTCCTTCGTCCACATAAAAGCCAGCCATGCTGCAGCGGCAGCTTTGTATAAGCTTGAGGAAGACATCCACCCTGGTTTCAAAGTCCCCACGGGAGTGATCCACAAACCACCCTCAACACGCCAATTCCAGTCTTTGCAAACAGTATTCCACCTTGGGCCTGGCGAAACAGCAGCGGGCACACCTATGGCCAAGCGGCACTGGCGCTGCCATTCAGCCCGGGCTGCAGCAAAGTGAAGCGCAAAAGCAGGATGCAAACGCGGTGTACCCAAAGAGTTCCAAAACAGCAATCTACTGCGACCTGGGGCAGGCTTGCGCCCCCAGACCGCCGCTTCAATACTGGAGGTCCAACTCTTGATGGTATCAACATCATAGTGGTGAAAAGCTCCTGTCCATGCAAACAAAGAAATTACCAACTGTCCCAGCAAGGTCTTGCGGGTGCCCAAACGTTTCGCTGCCAACCTGATTTTGCGACACCTCTCGTGAATGTCAAAGGAAAGCTTCTCTGCATTAACACAAGCACCTGCACGCTCCAAATTGTACTGAATACCCAGAAGTGTGAACTTGCTGCAAGGAGCCCCCAACACGTCCTGTATCTGTGACAGCTGAGGCGTCAAATGTTGCTTGGTTGTGAAACTATTTAACTTGTCAGGGTGGAGTTCCATGCCCAGAATTGCATCCACCTGCGCACCTGCCTGCATGGCGTTGGTGACCACGTGAATGCCGTTGACACCTTTCTTCCACATTGTGCGGTCATCCAAATAAACTGCAAGAGAAACACGAGGCTCTTGCAAAAGAACGAAGCGCACCCAGACTACCATCACCGCATTGAGTAAGGCTGGGCTTGCCGGGCAGCCCTGCAGCAGCCCCCGCCGAGCACAAATGGGCTCTGAATGGAAAATGCCTTGCCAGGCAAACCACCTGCGTTGGTCAGTGTAAAAATTTTCCACCATGTCACACAAACTGGCCGGAGCACCCAACCAGCGCCAAATAGCAAGTGCAGTCTTTGGACAAACTGAATCGAAACACCTACGGATATCGGCCTTGCAGCCAACAAAATCAACTCTTGAACGTTTGGCAGCACGAATGTCTTCGTAGAGCAATTCATGAACATCCATAATGCCTCTTCCTGGACGGCCGCCACAAAGCTGAGGCAAGGCCCATTCTTGTATCCATGGTCGGAGCTTTTGCAAAGTTGCACTCATGCAGATGCGCCACAGGACCGTCGTGATGGCAAGTGGGCGCAGACCCCCGGCCGCTTTTGGAATCAAGGCTATGCGAATATCTTTCCACATTGTAGGAACTTTCGCACACTGCATGCACGCCGACCACAAGACTGCAACGTGATTCCAAAAGGACTCCGGCAACTTGCACAAATGAGCCGCAGTCCAAGCATCCATACCAGCCGCTTTTTGTTTAGCTTTCAACGCAGAACGCGCCAAATCAGCCCCAACCACTTGAATGCTTTCAGGCGTGACTGGGTCGACCTGATTGTTGAGCTGCAAGCAGAAATTTTGAACCTGGTCTAAATTTGGGAGGTGGTCCGGATTCCAATGCGTGTGCCACGCAGCTGCTTCCTGTCTTGCCTTATCTTCAGGCAAAATAGGACCATCGACCTGTGTTGCTGTAGGTGGATCAGGTGGTTTTTGCTGAACCCACTTCCCCAGTTTCGCAACATTTTCTTGAATGTCCTCTTTCCAAGCAGCAAGGCGTCGCTGAGACGCCTTTTTGGCCACCTCGTCTGCAAGAAGCAAAGCGGCGGGAGCCAAACCACCATCAGATAAAGCAAACGCAGTAAGAGACGAGTGCAAAAGCGGAGCATCGCGCAACAGCTTGGTTTGCAATTGCGGCGAAGGAGCCTTTTGATATTCGACCACCCGTCGTGCAAATCTTCTCAGCTTTCGCTCCTCCAAAGACTGCAACGTAGGAGCTTTGGTTGATGGGGGGCTCGCCATTTTGTGCGGGCCGTCCCTTGATGCCCTGCTGGGCTTGCCTTGTGCAAGCAGCAAAGATTCAGCACAGTTGCTCAGGACCACCCAAGCTTGATCCACATTTCCGACGGCCAGAGCATCCGTGAAATCTTGTTGTGATTCTGCCCAAGCAACATTCCAGTTCTCAACCTCCACATTGCAAAGTAAGAGTGGTGCGCTTGCGGGCAATCTCCAAGGCGTGGGTAAGCTACCATGCACATGTATATCGTAAATAACTGCATCATGGTCAGCAACACCTAAAGACTGCATTCTTCCAGAAACAACAACCCTGGGAGTTGAAAGCGCGTAGTCAATGACCACCCCTGTGTATTCACCATCTGAGTTGCGATGGGTGCCAGGGCCAATCTGGTCACCGCAGACTTGTTCATCGCAAGAATACCATTGCCCCGACGCCAGCGCGGTGGAGGCCGGCCAAACATGCCTTTCCCTGTTGAAATCGCCCACAATGATTGCTTCTTCGCCCAGCATAGCAACGTATTCAAAAATTGAAGCCAAGGCGTGGCCAGCAGCTGTTTGATCGTTGGCATGAAGGTACACATTGATCAGTAGAAGCGGTCGCTGGTGAGGTCGAAAAAGCTTCAGCGCCATGGCACGGTCAGCCGGCGCAAACTGACTTGGAATGGCCAACGCTTCAGCAGGCCACTTTGACAAAACTAACGTCCCGCCAATCACCACATTCTTGGCGTCTACCCCTTGGCCGCCAGGAAAAACTTGCCACTTGCGCTGGTTTGCAGCTGACTTGACAGCGCTCCAACTGTCGACATTGACTCTAGTTTCTTGCAAACAAAGAACATCGATCTGCTCAGTCTTTGCTAACTCAAAAACGCCACCCAACCGGCCACTCAATGACCGGACATTCATAGTTCCCAACCTTAAAGTGCTAGACGTACCCGTCATTTGTCCGTAGAATCACCTTCCTCTTGCTGAAACCCTAAAATCTCCAAAGCACGGAGCGCCGCTCTTTGCCTCGCCCCAGGTTCTTTGTTGGCAAGCTCCAGCAAGGCGTCTTTGTTGCCTTTTCTCTTTTGGTTCCAAACGGTGCTGTTGGCGCAAGACATTCCACGGAAATGTTTCTCATCCTTCATGCACCGCTTGCATCTCGTGCAAGCAAAACGGACCGTGAAATCTACCGGCCAGACAAGTGCCTCAATATGGTGTTTGGGCGCAGTGTCTTTGGAGCTTCCCTTGCCTGAGTCAATAATGTTCAAAACTGTACGGGCACCATCTTTGAGAGCATCACTGATGGACGCTTTGTTGAGACAAGCGCGGAGCCTTGCCAGCATCTTCTTCCTCTTGGGGCCATTGCCGGCCACATACTTTTCACATGACAGCGTAGCAAGCTCCTTTGCTTGATTCGCCATCTTGCCACATTTGCGACAAATAACCTTTGCCATACCTCCTCTTTTCTGTTTGGCCTTGCCAGTCATAGGGAGGGTAACCAACAATGGTTCGTGGGAACCGGCATCACCTTTTTTGAGGCCCAACAGGCGTTTTGCCATGCCAGCTGCGCGCACTTGCAACGTAGCTTTGGCTGCATTTGCCGACCTGTAACTTCCATCGCTTTTGAAACGCTGCACATTCGCTTTCGGATGGTGTTCTTCTCTATGCCTCAGTTTCATGCGAAGCACCTGGTCTCTGCTGAGATCAGCATCTTCAGGAATGACCATGTTGCACAAGTGACACTTC